GAATTTTTTATTTCTTTAAAAATAAAAAAAAAGTGGACAAAAACAAAAACAAAAAAAAAAAGGAGTGGAAAAAAATCAAAACCACGTATTCCGGAAATACGTTTTAAAATGCTTTTAATTGTAAAACGTATTCCTAGAATACGTTTACAGAACAAAAACGTATTATTATAATACGTATTATGAAAAAAACTTAATTAACATAATTAAGTTAAGTAAAAACGAAAAACCGAAATACGTTTTACAATAAACCATATAATACGAATACGTTTTATAATAAAAAAAAATAAATAAATTTTTTAATTATAAAACGTATTCTGTAAATGCGTTTTTAAAATAAAAATAATTTTATAATTTTTAAAAATAAAAAATTTTCGGGAAAAAATATTTTTCAATAATAAAACGTATTGTGATAATACGTTTGCGTTGAAAAATCAATTTTCCCCTAAATTAAATTTTGCCCTAATTCAATTTGAAAATGAAACGTATTCCCGGAATACGGTTTTAGAGTAAAATAAATCCAAAACGTATTTGGATAATACGTTTGCGTTGAAAAGATCAATTTTCCCGAAATTCAATTTTGCCTAATTCAATTTGAAAATAAACCGTATTCCAGGAATACGGTTGTAAACTAAAATAAAATAAAACGTATTTGGATAATACGTTGTGGTTGGAAATCAATTTTGCCCTAAATTCAATTTTGCCCTAATTCAATTTGAATATAAACCGTATTCCAGGAATACGGTTTCAAAATAAAATAAAAAAAAAAAACGTATTCTGTTAATACGTTTTATTCTGTAGGAAAAAAACTGGAATGTATTTTTTAAACGAAATAAACCGGAACTTGTTCAATATATCATACGAAATAAACTTGTTCAACCAATCACAACCAAATAAACCTGCTCAACCAACTAATACCAATCGAACCTATCAATTCACCAAATAATAATCCAACATAATATAAAAAACAATGAACCGCAATAATGTATTAAAAAAACACTACATACCAAAAAGGTCAAAATAAAGTTTATACATACAAAACAATCCGTTTTTCATTCAAACATAAACTAACACAAACAAACTACGAAGGAGTAAAGGGATCCCTAGGTTTGCGCACTCGGGACCCCTTCCGAACCTTTGGCCGTGAAGAAGACGAAGGTGTAAGGGTCTGTGTGAGATCTTCGGGATCC